GCTCGTGTGATGTATACAAGTACCAGCTCGTGTGATGTATACAAGTACCAGCTCGTGTGATGTATACATGTACCAGCTCGTGTAATGTATACAAGTACCAGCTCGTGTGATGTATACAATATTGATATTAATTTAATTACTATTATTAATAATTACTATTATTATTTATTACTATTATCACTTGGAATACTACTATTACTAACTATATTTGGCTTGTTGTGTTAAACTTTGCATTGCTATTATTATTAATTTAATTACTATTATTATTGCTTGCTCTGTTCCGTCTTCCTATCTTCATGCAAGAATTGTATCATCAAATTTCATTTACATCATCACATCCTTCTTCCATAAGATTAATGATCTTGCGTCTTTAAATGAATCGCAAGCAAATGCCTAAGAACTTGTCGCACAGCTACGTATTAGTGGCGGTAAAAAATTACCTATTGGGTAATTACCTATTACCTAATTACCTATTGGAAAAATTACCTATGGGAAAAATTACCTATTGGGTAATTACCTATTACCTAATTACCTATTGGAAAAATTACCTATTGGAAAAATTACCTATTGGAAAAATTACCTATTGGAAAAATTACCTATTGGAAAAATTACCTATGGGAAAAATTACCTATTGGGTAATTACCTATTACCTAATTACCTATTGGAAAAATTACCTATTGGGTGGGCTAATATTGATAGTAGTCAACTGGGGAAGTGAGAGTAATCGTGTTATTGGGACATTTATAATCGTGTTATTTGAACATTTATAATCGTGTTATTTGAACATTTATAATCGTGTTATTTGTAAGCATAGCGTAAAAATAGGGATAGAATGCGTGTAAATGTTGGTTCCATGACTGCAATCTAAGTGTTGATATACTCGTGCAGGGCGTGAGACCAGGCAACATGGGCCCACCATTAGGCCATCCTTTGGGCCCCACAACAGCCAGATGGGCGGACCCGCGACCATGAGCACGGGCGGCATGGTCCAGGCAACATGGGCCCACCATTAGGCCATCCTTTGGGCCCCACAACAGCCAGATGGGCGGGCCCGCGGCCGTGAGCATGGGCGGCATGGTCCAGGCAACATGGGCCCACCATTAGGCGATCCATTGGGCCCCACAACAGCCAGATGGGCGGGCCCGCGGCCGTGAGCACGGGCGGCATGGTCCAGGCAACATGGGCCCACCATTAGGCGATCCATTGGGCCTCACAACAGTGAGATGGGCGGGCCCGCAGCCATGAGCACGGGCGGCATGGGGCCAGTCCTACCAAGGCTGGGGCCCTCCTGCCCAGCCCAGGGCTACCCGCCCCTCTGGCTGCCCAGTACGGCCGCTGGGGAGTTGGCCAGCAAATCCAGCAATGGACATTCCCAGCTACGGCTGGGCTGGATCCCAGCAGTACGGCCACTGGGGAGCTGGGCAGCAAATCCAGCAATGGACATTCCCAGCTACGGCTGGGCTGGATCCCAGCAGTACGGCAGTTTTGGTGAGACCTAACAGCGCTTCTTGCTTCTTTAGAATTTTTGTTATATAAGCAAAGTTATTTAAGCAAGTGTTGTGTTAAGTAAATCAGCTGCTACCTCATACACTTCCATTTTTGTTGTGAAAGTCATTTATTGGGCGCTGTAAATTTGGTGTATGAACCTGTTCGAAGTTCAACAATTCACAATATATTTTTTTTCAACAGTCAAGTGCCGTTTATTCTTTTTAGTCGACGTTCTTAAATTAAATTCCGAATGTTTCTGGATTTTACAACAAGTCACCTGTCCCTCCTTGTCACCTGTCCCTCATTGTCACCTGTCCCTCCTTGTCACCTGTCCCTCCTTGTCACCTGTCCCTCCTTGTCACCCGTCACTCCTTGTCACCAGCCCCTCCTTGTCACCTGTCCCTCCTTGTCACCTGTCCCTCCTTGTCACCTGTCCCCTTGTGGGTGATGAATAATTTAATACTCTGAATAATTGAGTTGGCGATGTTATCTTATGACCTCCGGTGCGAAATAACTTGATAGCTGAAGCTCTAGCAAACCATTCTACAACTACTACTTGTCTTATCTATTTTACTACTACAACTACTACTTGTCTTCTTTCTATTACTACTTGTGCAATCGTTGACCATTTTCCCGCAGACTTGTCCCTACCTTCGGCAAGTTAGTGATCTTTTATGTTCTATTCTATGAGCTTAATTGCGAAGGCATATCACGGCTTTCTCGGGTCGTAAATACGCTAAAGTTGATTTATTTGTTCGCAGGTACGAAGCATTTGACGGTCACCATCCCTGCCTTCACCATACAGAAGTTATGGCGGCCACCATCGCTGCCTTCACCATACAGAAGTTATGGCGGCCACCATCGCTGCCTTCACCATCCAGAAGTTATGGACCACCAGCGCTGCCCTCACCATCCAGAAGTTATGGCGGCCACAAATTGTTCTTCAAAAATGCTCCACAAAATGTGGAACATTCCACAGAAAAAAATGTCCCACAAAATGAACAACAGCCGCTGTTGTTCATAGAAATTGTGGTCGTCCAACGCTTTTGTTGTGCATCAATTTCATCAAAGATTAAATGATTAATATTGAGGTATTTTTAAGATATCCTCGAGTATTTTGTTGTAGGGTAGAATTAAATATTTCTGTATTGTGTAATAGCCTGTCTCACGCTAGCCTTACATCAAATGCTGAGTTGGAAATTTATCTTTATTTCTAAATTTCTTTCTTTAATAAAATTCGGTTTTGCCATCATGTTTAGTTAGCGGAGTTGCCGCTACCTGACGAGGTGTCTTCGGTCAGCGGCGGTTGATCAGAGAGCTAATATATAAATAAATTTATATATTATAAATATATAAATATTTATATATTATCTAATATAATAAATTTATATAATATATGAAGAGAGTTACACGCAGGCGGAGCTGTGAAGCTGTTACGCTGCTCTTGCCACGAGATGTTTTGTGTTGCACGTGTAAGCTTAACTCTAATAACTAGCTTAACTAGTTTATTTTTAGAGCTTGTTTTTAGAGAGTTGAAATTTTCTAAGCATATTTAAAGTCAAGTTAATAAAGCCAATAAACGACTTGGACTGATCAGACGCTCTTTCGAGTTCCTAGATGCAGAAACAATGAAACAGTTGTTTGTTGCTGTCGTGCGCCCGAACCTAGAGTTTGTAAACGTCGTGTGGTCACCGAAACTTGAAAAGGACAAAAATTTAATAGAGAGTGTTCAAATACGCGCAGCAAGGATAATTCCGGGCTTGAAGGGCAAGTCCTATGAAGAAAGATTGAAGATTATGAAGCTTCCAAGCCTCAGTTATCGACGTCTGCGTGGGGACCTCATTGAAGTATGCGGAGTTATACCGCATGTCTCTCTCATATAAACCATGTATACTCATGGTTTATACAAGGTGCCAGAATGATTACTAGAATTTGAAACAAAAACCAACACCAGGGGCCACGGCTATAAATTAAAAAAAACTGCGCTGCAACTCCTCCACGCGACAACATTTCTTCTCGCTTCGAGTCACCGACATGTGGAACAGCCTCCCTGATGACATCGTTGGCGCTCCAAGTATGAACGCGTTCAAGAACAGACTAGATAAAGCTATGGAAAAATATATGTTCAGATTTGAAATGCCTAGCACCATGTCGAACCCGGTGGAAGTCTAGTAGCTATTTCAAAATTTCGTCAGTCATGAAATGATCCGATCAAATGACACGATTTTAGATCTATGAACAAGGCACGAAAAGGAAAAGAATCGGCGACAGGCCACATCAGGCCTACGCTTCAGCGCCGAGATCAATATGTTATGTTATGTTAAGAGCTCTGGCATTTGTGCGACTGTTGCACTGTCCGATCAGCTGCATCCTGCCGACGAAGCTCAGCTGCTTGACGTCATCGAGTTCTCTTGGTTGCGGCAAAGATTTCCTGAAATATTGTAAAATTAGTGAATAAATTAATGGAAGGTCAGGTGCAGAATGAGGGAGTCTTGTTATGCCGTTATGGAAGTTCTGTAATTTTGCGGAAATTAATTATTAATAAATTTAAATGTTACAATTTATTCAATAATAAAAGCAGAATTAGGTATCCGCATGCATTCTACGAAGGGATATAATTTTGATATGAATAACATGATTGAAAGAAATATCTGACTTCTTCACCATCTAAAACTAATAGATAAAATTGGCGTGACAACCGTTTCTTTGGTATGACAAAGAAGGCTGAACCTGCACGCACGGTCATACGCAGCTTCAGTACAGTTTGAGGGCAAAATTACATGCGAAATAACCCAGCAAGAAGCAATATGGGCAACTAGTTTTAACATTTCCTAGTATATATACGATAGGGTTTCAAGTGGAGGCCTGAGTCTGTTTAACCGTGCAATAAGGAAATAGAAGGCGGTGGTAATAACGATAGGCGAGCATAACGATAACTCAGCTGTTTCAACGAGAGGTAAAAATTTGATTATTATTTCGTAAAAATTCAAGATATTGAGTGAGAAATAGCGATCATTTTTTGGCACAGACTTATAGCCAACGGTACGCACAGCCGTGCTCGAGACCGTGAACGCAAAACTTTCGAGCTGATGATAAAATAAATGAAAAATAATTCAGGATTCAAGATGGAATCGCGTTCAAATCGACCCCGCTGGATTTAACGGCAAATGTGTAACTTTAAAATTACTGCTCACTTTATCATTATGCTTAAAACTTTATCATTTCAATAGTTTTATACAGGCATCATGCGATCGTATTCGTCGACGAAACGAGTTCGTTACGAGTTCCATCGACGTCCTTGAACGCCTGGCGCTGCCTGCTAGTGATGGCATCGCTGCAACGGTGTTGCCAGATGCGCAAAAATTTCTGTAAAATCAAATAAATTTCTGATTACCAGAGAAAACGCAGCTATGTCCCAAAAAATCAGTAGAGATTTCTTGTATGATTAATTAAAACAATGAAACATATATACAGTGTATTTTTTGCTCGACAAAACTAGTATTTTCTATATTTCTATGATTACAAAGATTATTCTTGCGCACAACCAGAAATTTTCTGCGTCACCCGCAGCATAGATAATAACCGGTGCACCTGCCGCGAGTAGACAGTCTAATCTCGGGAGCGGAGGTGAGTGGTGCGCACAGTTGAAGACAGGGCCGTTAGAAACTCGACTCTTAGTGAGTTAAATAGAAACTAATGAACATATTTAGTGGATGAATTGTAGAAAAATTTGGGAATGGTTTTTTTTTTTTGATGAAACGAATCTTATCTGTAGAAGGTCTGCGACACAAGTGTTGTGGCGACTAGACTGGCATTGAGGTTAGTGTTCTAGCCCAGCCTAGTCAGAGAATGGCGATCTGATTACTCAGCTGTTACCGGAAGAAACACGTGAATAAAACCCTGAGCAAGACGGTCTGGTTCTGGTACCAGAATTACTGATGCTTTTCACTGCAGCGAGTAGATCTCTGCGGCCTGATGTCGCTGCAGCAGTTATTTATTGCGATGCTTGTGGGTCCCAGACATGCGTATGAGGCATTTTATGGAAAGTTTAAAGCAGTTAAGGTTGTCATAAATATTGGAGTGAGAAAAATAATTATATATATTGAATATTATAATTCAAAAAATAATAAAAGTTATTTATTATAATACTGCTGCTGTTGTACCGGTCGGGTGTTAAGACGTTGAGTCAAGACTCAGGACCCGAGTTTGTTCCAAGTCTTCCCATCCTAATAAGTAATGCAGAGACGGGAAGTTCAGTGACGGAAAGCAATGGCCATTATTACTCGTCAATCGAACTTTCGCTTCTAAAGAACGCATCGAAAAAAAATAACTTTTTTCATATCTCTTGAGCAGCGGTTTCTTACCACAGAATCCTTTCATTATCTTTTTATTAAAATATATTCTTCTTTTCATTTCCAGAGAAGTTTTCATTGTGTTGATTTCTTTTTAATAAAACAATGAAAAATTGAAATAAAAAATATATTATGTTGTGACAAATTCGTGCTATTTTAGTGATCGAACGAAAACTATATTGCCAATTTAAAATCTTCATTATTGGTAATTTAAGTAATTTAACTTTGTCGCATGTTCATATTTAACATATTCGTAGGCAGTGAGGCAAATTGCCAGATTCTACAACCCTCATCTCATAAGGCACCATATATCAGTTATTGGGGGCTGTCACTTATAAAGCTGAAAAATCTGAGTTCATTCATATAAATGAAGCATATTGTATAAAAAGTGACACACTTCCTGCAGGTAGCACTGATACATCCTTTAGCCGGGAAAACTGAGTCAAGAAGGCCCACACAAGGCAAGAAGTGCATCACTATTTGGACAAAGTCTGTCGATTTCTCTGAGTGTTCCCGATAAGTCCCCAAGATAACGTCACCTCACAAGTAACATCAGATACTTGCATGTCAGACGCAAGGCAGATGGGCAAGGCAGTAAATTAAATCTATATATAAAGGATGGTAAATAAATTTCTTTTTATGGAAAAATAACTCCAATATCAGGCAATTTAAATTGTTTATGAAGATATTTTTGCATAAATTATACCCCCCACTCGATTTTGGAATATTTGTTTCTTGTTAATACGAATACTGGAAGGCTGGGGTAAACTTCTCTTCTGTAACTAAATGAAAATATGAATTAGTGTGAAGATGCCGGATGATACGGTGCTTACATACAACCATTTTTTTGTCACGCGTTATCAATGATTGTTCCTAAATTTTTAATTCCAATCAAAATTTTATGGGTTGAAAAAATAGTGTTTTTGTAGATGAACGAAGTATTGGAAACAATACAAGTTTCAGTAGTTTATATGAGATTTACATCCATGAAGCGCCACGTTTCATTGTTGACGTGCAAGCTTCAAACAAAGTAAGAGTTTATTTAAGCATCTTCATCATTAAGGAAGGCTACAATAAACTTTATTTGTGCAGCTGCATCATAATGTCTAGCTTAATTTGAGTAAGACGAGTTGTTGGATCACTATCATTCAGAAGGTTTGTGTGAAGTGTACCTATATTTTTGTTGGCCATCACTCAATAATAGTTGCACGATACTTTTAAACTCTTCACAAGATGGCAAGTGCGACGATAGAATGCGACGTTTGTAACGAGAAATTCGACTCAGGCAACCACAAGCCGCTTGGCCTGACCTGCGGCCACACGTTTTGCTTCTCTTGCATTAAACGTTTATGCAATGTTCCCGAGACCAAAAACTGTCCGAAATGCAGGAAACCAATTTCCCAAGATGCTGATCAATTGCCAGTTATCTTCGCATTGATTCCAACCAATGAAAAATCACGTCCAAGTGCGGTGGGTTCACCGACTGAAGCGCTGTGTCCTCAGCACCAGAAGGCGCTGGATTACCTCTGCGTGGACTGCATGGAATCCGTGTGCTTCACCTGCAGCAGGGGCACACATGCCATGCACAAAATTGAGATGATAGACGACCTGCTTCAGGATAACGAGAACGTTAATGACGTCTGGGCAAAAATACGGCCGACGTTGCAGAAAAAACTCGATAGCGTTAGTTCGGTCGTCACGTTGTCCGATGAATTATCGGACGTTATTGAAGACATCATCAAAATGAAGCCTTATTTTGATGGTTGGAAGGATTTGCTGTTGGTTCAGAAAGTGTCCACCGAGCAGGACCTCCAGGCCTGGGATGCCTCGGTCACCAGTCATGATGGAAACAAGAGACTCGATTGCAAGGAAATTCTCTGCCGTCTGAAATTGAACTTTAGTGATAATGGAAAGCTACCTGAGATTAAGGCATTACTGGATGCTGCCGCTAAAACAAGTGCTTCTTTAGAGGTGAGTGAAATATTTGCTATAATAAAAGGATATTTGCAATGATAATCTTGGGATCATACATGTGATTGTATTGAAGGTACACTTGCTCTGACAGCGCAAAATTGAAATGTCAATGCTTGTATATCTATTATGACGAATAAGACTATTCAAAAACAGTGCCTCTTATCGCGTCTTGCTCGTGGCATTTCACTAAGAAAAAGCAGAATTATCTTGTCCAAGTTTGAATTTTTTAGCGTGGCACATGAAAATATTATTCGATCGTGTATTCAGCCTGTTCCGTTCAACGCCTCGGTGAGGGTAATTTTTTCCCAACAGAATGTCAAACATTTACTTCTTTTGGTATTGATTAACTTAATTATTAATGATCGAATCAAATTACCAAATAAAGCTAAAACATTATTGTGTGATCAGCGATAATGGAACAATATATATTATTATTGTGTTTAAAACGGATATTTAGTGTTATAATTGCTGGACGTCTTCTGTTTCCTGCCTCTGGGAAGTTTTTGTTTGGTAAAAAGTTACCCTATTATCTTTGTAACAGGATGCAAAATGGCATTTTAGAAATTTCGTTCAGAATTAAAATATAAGAATTCTGGTATTTACCTCGAAAATGATGCTTCCCTTTTAGCTATCAAACTACATTTAAGTAATTTGATCGACATCTTAATAATAGCCATAGTTGTAATATTAGCCAGGTTAATAATGCAGCCCTTCCTTTCAACTTGTGTAATAACCAGTCAAGATAATAAAACTAAAATGACTTGAAATTATTCACGGGTGTGAAAGAACGATAATAAGTCCTATTACTAGAAATATGAATGTTATAATGTCTCTAAATTCTGAAAAATAATCTGATTGGAATATTCCCTGCTGTACAGTTACAGACCTGTGAGGTCATGCCGACTGGCAAACCTTGGATCATCACCAGCAGCGAAGAAGGAGAGCGAGCTGTCGCCAGCCTGTCCAACAACATCAAGCCCAGTCGCCTCGTGGTGCTGTCCACCCACACCCGCCCCATCCCGGGGCTGGGGGAGCTGCTGTCCCGCCTCGCCGCCCACCACACCGGCAAAATCAGCCTGCTGCCCCTGGACTACTTCTGGAGGCCGACAGGACAGTCGGATGGAGGCTTGGAAACTATCGTCCACAAATTACGGTGGGTCGTGTACTCTCATAAATTATCACATTGTTTGATAGCCTAAAATAATTTGTGTGGGGCGCGTTTTCTCCCAAGTTTCCGCATAGGTTTGGCCCCGTATACAGTTCACACTTCGTGCTGCTTGCAGCACTGCAGCCTTGTCCGTCACAGATGTCAACGAATAATCTGCTAGGAAATTTTGTATATTCCTATTCCATATTCCTACTAAGTCACACTGTTTGAATAAATTCGCAAACATTAAATATCACAAACGTGAAAAATTTCTAATTCAGAAAGTCCTGAAATGCTTGACAAAAATCAACTTCAAAGCAATTTTCACATGCTTCTCATGAAATCTCATAAATAATGATAATCCTTTACCATGAAGAAATCTCATGGTTTGTCAATGTTATATATTTATATCTTATTTTTCTATATGTTTATATTTTATATTCATTTCATGTCAGTGGAGGGCTGCAGGGTGCCTTGTACTGCTCCCCCTACATGGCCGCCCGAACGGGCATCGCCAGAGACTACAACATTCGTCTCGGCCGCCCAGCCGATGTAACGTGGATGGCTAAATTGGGTGGATGTGCTATCAGTGAGTAATTCATCGTTTTAATGTATATTCATACATACACTTGTGCCCGAAATTATTCATACCCCTTCAGAAATATAATAAAATTCCAATTTTAATGAACAATAGAGATCATTTACAACTTATTCTTCTAGGAAGGGTTGTCATTATTATGTACAACAAATTTAATGCTAGAAAATATATATATAATAACTTTCGATAGTAATTACTTTGTATTTAGTGAGTAACTAACCGTTCAGAATTATTCGTACCCTCTTATTCCAGATCATTTATCATAATATTTAAGAAGAACTATTAATGAAAATAGTAGTAGATACTCCATAATTGTATTTCAAAATTTAGTGTTACTATGCATTGTAGTATTTTTCTCCGCAAAGTTTGTAAATATCATTTTTTCACAATTTAGGAAAAAGTTAAAATTTTGCTAAAAGTTTGAAGATGGCAAAGAAAAAAAGAGCTAAGTAATGATCTCGGAAGCAAAATTATAAATACCCGCAAAGAAAAGATGAGATATAAAGCAATATCTAAGAATTTTGATGTTCCTACGTCTACAAAACAGAGCATTATAAAAAAATTCAAATCATTTATCACGATGGATAACCTGGTTGGTCGAGGAAGGAAAGGAAAAATCTCCCCTAGATGTGCAATAGAAACATAATACGCTCCATTTGCAACAATTATAGGATCACTAGTAAGGACATTCTATCACATTTGGATGCTTTTGATATGAAGGTATCAAGAAAAACATATTGCAAAGAACAATGCGTCGTAACGGACTGAAGGGTTGTCAACCCAGGAAAACCCCTTTGCTAACAGAAAAGCATGTGAAATCACGCCAGAAGTTTCGTAAAACTCCTGTCGATTCCCAAACCTCATTTTCCCCTAAGATTTTGTGGAGAGATGAGGCTAAAATTGAATTATTCGAGCATATGAATGTTGCTTACGCTTGGCGAAAAAAAGGGGAGGCTCATAATCCAAAGATGGCGGTGAGAATCTTATCTTTTGGGGTTCATTTTCTGCAGGGGACCTGCGGAAGTCTGATCAAAGTAATCGGAATCATGTAAAAAGAACAATATTTTGATATTATAAAAAATAACATCAAGCAGGATGCAGAAAGTTTTTTTCTTGATCTTGATTGGATTCTTCAGCAGGATAATAATTCGAAGCACACATAGAAAATAGTCAAGAAGTGGTTCGAGGATTCTCACATCAATGTCACGGAATGGTCTAGTCAAATTCCTCATCCCAATCAATTGAGAATTTGTGACGCGTACTGACAATAGAGATGAAAAAGAGACAAAAGAGTTTTATGTTTCCTTTGAATCTCTTTACAAAACTGAAAAAATGATGTTTTTGGTTACTAAATACATGTTACATGGTTCATAAAAGGTTTACATCTGCTTTAAAGTTTTAGATAATTATTTTTCGGTCTATTTCTCGTAATTTGTCGAAATGACGTTAGGGTATGAATAATTTCGGGCAAAAGTGAATATACATATTACTTTCTCATAATTTTTAGCCTCTCAAACGAGTGCACTTTTGAAGCCGTATGGAATTTTTTCAATCATTGCCATCTTAAACAAAAATGGCCAACAATAGATGTTAAAATAAACGAAAGCGTTCGAGGAGGAAAAAATTATACACGTTTTTATTTTTATTCTATACGTATTTTCCTATACTTATTTTTGAAAGTGTTTGGAATTGTGTAAGAACTTTTCTTGTTAATTAAAATTTAACATTCCTGGATTTAGAAAAATAATTCAAGTCGAATTCAAACGAAAATATTTAGCTATATTTAGCTATATATACGTATTTATAAATATTTAGCGAGCTATTTAGCAATTGAAAGAATTGGTATCAAGATGCAAATGACGAGAATTATAAAGACGTGAATACTAATGTGATTGCTAAATAATAGTCTACAATTTTAATGTTGATGTAATTTGGTCAACAGCAAATGTATGCTGCGCCAAGGGCGTCCCAAACAACGTTGGCACTACCTTAAAGGATGGCGGTGTTGAGGTCACCCGCTGGCACTTTCCCGACCTCAAAGATCATGACGTGGACTGGTTGTCACACATCCTGTCATCATATTCCGACAACCGCCATCAAAGGTATGTGTTTTACAGTACGATTAGCACACGTACAATCTATGTATATGAGTTGCATGCTAACCCATGCGATACCAAGTGTCACATCCTATCCTCCTACCTAGGTAACTGCTATGAAGGATATGTGCCTTGCAGTTCGATTTTAATATCTACATGAGTTGCATTATAACCATACCGCTGGCAAGTGATGAGGTTATTATTATTATTCTCTCACAATACGAAACCAAAGAAAATTGAACCGGGATCTTGAATGTTACTTATTGTCAACCGTATTCCGCAGCGAGACAGTGTCGAACACCTAGAAATGCAAGCAAACTTAAATGTGTTGCAAGATTTTCTTATTGCAATGCCTTTACTAACTTGCGCTGAGATTCACGTCTCGATGATCCTAAGGTGCTCTGATGTACACGACTCAATGCACAATTGATTTCATCAAGACCCGATTGAATTGAATGCATAAAAACTAGATATAAAGTTCAATTTGCCTGATGCAGAGCTGCCCGTATCACCCAGATGATAGAATGCTTGCTAGTATTCAACAGTCCCTTCAATTACGACGTTTTTTGGGCAAAGCTGCAGCAAGGAAAAATTCAGCGAATAATCATGATGTGAAATCACATTTTTGTCACGTACCAACCGCATTTTTTTTATTCTTGATACATGCAAATTCTTGCTTTGACGTTTACGAGTATCTGATTAATACTAACCGGTTACTTTTATTTACGTCGCAACGAAATAGCACTAGGCTCAAACTGACAATATATGCAAATATGTTATCATTTCTTATCTTTCTTTGCCGCCTAAATCTAATATGTAAAGTAGGCGACTGATCCATTTTATCCAATATTACCTAAACTTGGTTTTGGACTTTTCATTCGCACATAATATTGTGCAAAATAAAATTACGACTGAATTTTCCTTGTAATTCGAAATAAATACTGTTTTCTTATTTGTTATATACCATTCCAGTGTGGAGCTGGTCCTCCCAAGGGCTCGTCTCACCTGCGAAGGCATTCGACAGATGTTTCAGAAGATACCAAATATTCGTGTGTTGTACCACGAGCCTGACGCCGCGCACCTCCTGACGGCAGCTCGTAGGTCTTTTAATCCTGCTGCGGATTGCATCGAGTTGTCAACTACTAACATTCTTCAATGGATATAAAACCTTCATCAAAAGTTTGGGTCAGAATAGAAGACATAATCAACCGCAAGTGGAAATTTTGATTTTATATTTTAATAAACATGAGGTTCCTAAGATAATAAATATCCTTTCAGGGCGAACAGTTTTAACGGCGTAGAGACCTTCATTAGTAAGCATTTGTACTTTCATAACATTACTCTCGGCAGTGGATTATTTAACTTGTTATCAAGTCGTAAAATTTGCAGGTTAGCTCATGCGAGAACTTTTTATCTTTTTCGAAGCTTTCAATATAAATATTGAGCAGAACCTATGTTTGGGTATCCTTTGTTTTCCTCCATAGCGATCCCTGGTCATGAGTGAGAGAGGATGTCAGGCAATGACATATCAGGCATTTCATTACATGGAAACCCGAACATGCCGGATACTGGCAAAAAGCTGTTTTTTTAAATAGATTTTTGCGATTTAGAACAATTGATACTCAAGTTTTAAGATTTCAGCGGAATAAACCAGAAAACGGTGAAAAGTCCCCATCACAGTTTATCAGTTTGAAAATCGTATAATTTCTCTGTGCACTGAAACATTACATGACATTATCGAGGAGCAACCAAATGAGCAACCTTAGCGTTGTTGGCTGACAGCGCGAAATATAATGATTTTTAGTATTGATCCTTGGGTCGCATTATACCACAATTTGCAATGTGGTAGCTCAACTGAACCCATGGTCTCACACCTCGTTGGTCGATTTATGGCAAGTAGGAAGAAGAAGAAAATTTTAAATTCCACTCCACAATCAATTTATGCTTCATTTCTCTTGCGGTTCTAACGCTCAAAGAATAACCACTCCCACAACTCGCCACGGCAACACATAATTGCTATGCGGTCAACAACGTGCTCAGCGAAGCTGTAGTCAGGCAACCATCCACTGGTGGCAGCTGCTTTCTGGGCAGAAAAATCAACTCATTTGGAGTAGCAATAATATTAAGAAATATATAAAAAATTCCACGGTACTGTTGCAAAATTACGGAAAATATTCCAGGTGCAGAAAATATTTTGAGGGAATACATACAAAAAATTGAATACCATAGTCCTTTTCATCTCATGTCCCAGAACAGAAAGAAGACACAAGTAATAACCTATTATTGCAGGAACCTGAACTATCGTATATGTACTATTTGAACGTGTCTCTCAAGTGACAACTCGTCTCTCATTGCTCGACCGTATCGATCGATGCATTCGAGGGCACCCTCTCCTCCGCTAGCCTCCAATCATTCGACGGTTCCCACTTCGACGAAACAAAGAGGGTGACAGGATGGACGACACCCAGTCCTCGTCTCTCCGGTCAGGGAAGTGCCAGCGGTTGACCGCACAACCGAGGGTCAACGTCGCTCGGGTCTCCTTTGACGCAAAAAACATTAACTGTTGGATAAATTGAGCCTATGTCAACTAAGGGTATCGATTTTACGTGAATAATTCATTGAAATAATTTGTATACATGTCATTTTCATGCTCATCTATTGCGTTGATATATTCACAGATAACAAAACTGGTCATTTTAGTTTTTGGCCATTCATATACAAAACGAAGTTTTTAGAGAGCTACCAGCTTCAAGGAAATAAAAATGAAATTCTTACGACGGTGAAAACAATCTAATACAACAGAAATTCACTGACCGAAAGATGGCTTCTAGTCAGCACAGCTATCGAGGTCCTCTTTACTGGCAAGACTAACGCTAAAGTTTCTGGGCTCTCGACGTCGGATCTTCAAATAAGCGAGACCATGATCAGGCGAGCCATACACGGCGTCGAGCCAGCGCCTTGCATCAAGAGCAAATAAGATATGTATTTTCAGCGCTAAATAACATTGATAACAACAGTGCTTACCCTTAAATGAAAAAAATAGCTTGCTACGATTTCTTAAAATAACACTGAAAGTTTTAAAATAATGGAAGATTTCTCCTCGATTTCACCCATTCGTTCTGCGATTATTTTTCTGAATGGTCAAACTATCAGCCAATATCTTGTGCCGCTATATAGATGCCAGCGAAGGCGGCCGCAGAGCCTAGTCTTGGAGACAACCAAACTGGGACGGACAACAGAGACCCAACGTCGGCCACCTTCGCAACCCTGAAATATTTTTGCACAATGTTTTTGCACAACTCAAAAAGTATTTTTGCACAACAAAAGTATTTTTGCACAACAAAAGTATTTTTGCACAAAGTTAACTTTTGTATCGGAAGTAGTGTGTCATGGAAGTGCTATACTTTTGTAAAACTTGCCCAAACACAATGGCTGCACCTTAATCAATGCAGATCGAAATAAGTATAGAATTAGATTCGTCAGGAGTTAAATAGCGCATAGTAGATTTATGAATTCCATTTTACATTTTTAGAGGGATCTGGCAAAAATTTACGGCGAGACTCCGTCAAGGTCAAGCGTTTAATGGAGCGTGCTTTTAGTGAAAACTTTTAGACTATTTCACGTTGCACGACGCTCGAGTAATTGAAACGAAAACAGGCAAGAGGGTGTAAAGTTTATTCGTTCACGAAGGGCTTCGAAAAAGAGAGTTTCATTGAACTTCATATTAAAATCTGTTTCTGTAAAATAAACATACCATGGTAAAAATAATAGCTCATAAATTAGTATTGCACATAGCATAAATAATATACCTAAAATACTTCATTTCGAACAAAACACACGAAGAACTAGAATCGAGTGTAAATATTCAGAGCGAGATTGGTAATTAAATACGTACTAAATATTCTCTTCACTAGGAAAGGCTTGAGCCAGAATCTAACTAAATCAAAGGCGTAGATTAAAATCGACTATAACTAAGTTGCGTACGACACATGCGCATCAAGCGGAAAATTTATTAAAAATGTACTTGTAAGAACTAAAAATTGCACTAAGTTAGGGCTTTAATAGAAAGTATCGAAACAACAAAAATGCTTTCGACTTCCAATTTCATTTTTTTATACTAGCCAAACTCACCACGATCTCAGATGTAACCAACTCGTCCAGTTTCTTAAGCTTCAAGGAAGTGTGGTGAACCCATGAGTTAGTATGTGCGTGTGTCATAGCTTGGATGTCATAGCTTGGATGTCATAGCTTGGATGTCATAGCTTGGATGTCATAGCTTGGATGTCATAGCTTGGATGTCNCGCCATATGATGAGCGGGAGCATTCCATATGCATTCCATAAATAATTCCCCTCCTAAATACGATACACGGAATGCTGTTCTGGCTAATTATTTCCAATTCACAGACATTAAGATAAATTATGTAAACTTTGTATTACAGTTACCACTGTTATCGCGAACGAAATTTTTGACCCATGCGGATCGTAAAACGAGAGAATTTTCTAACATTTTCCCGATATTAGTTGGCTTGACTATTTATTATTAATGATTGCTATATCATTCATTACTAAATAATTCTTTTTGTATTAGACATAAGTTAGTAAAGCCCAAAGCTTTGTGAAAACTTCACTAAAGCACTACCTGACCTTCCGTTGATGTACTCAGGCACAGCCTCTACAATGACAATAACTCCTCCCTGGCTCAAGATAAACATCCTGCCTCTCCTCCCCACTTCGCAATCCATTTCAATCTTGCTAAGTTCTACTAGGGCTGCATAGCAGAGAGTATATAACCGCTCAATTCACTAATTAGCAATTTTAACTCCTGGCTGGGAGTTACAAAATTAAATTCGTCGCCAAGATCTTAACGCACAAAAAATGCAATTTGATCCGCCTATTTTGTATAAATTAATCAGAGAAATTAATAAAAATAAACAATTTAGGCAGATTTGATATTGACATGGTTATTCATTTCGATATTGTATAGTTTAATTTTTCCGCAAAATTTATCGTAATTTATGAAAAACCCTCACATTATTCAGGATTTAAAAGATTTATGATATCGCTTCAGTGATGGATAACAAAAAATAAAAATATTCGCTACTGACATTCGAAACTTTCCAGGCAAGCTGTAATGCAATCCAGAGTTTCTCAGAGTCAGAGAATGACGTCTGAAATTTAAAAATGTTTAAGTTTTGAATAAAATAAAATAAAAACTTAGGAACGATTTAAACGATATCTAACGTTTTTTTAAGGGTTAATCACCATGAGCATATGCATCTTTTTCCTTTTCCCTTTTCACGTGACTCATTTGAAGAAAATGACACAATTTATCTCTGAACACATAAAAATATCAATAGTTATTAGTGTCAACAGAAAAAATAACTGGATCCATTGTAATCTGCCCTGAAATTAGCGTCGATTTGATAAATTATATGTTGGAATAGCCGAAAATTTATTGTGTAGAAAATAAAAAAAGCCTTATTATTTTGAGGGCTGTAATTTACTTTGGACCATTGACTTAGTTTAAATATTGAAAGCTCTAATCCTTCATATTGTTGCTTGTTAACATCCAATTTTGATGTGCAACACGTTACAAGCTGCAACAGACAGTTCTGTATAATTATTGGCTTCTTTAGTCTAACCTAAAATGATGCATCAAAGAAAATAAAGCAGAAATGCATCATCAAAATGCATCATCAAGAAAATGCATCATCAAAATGCATCATCAAAATAAAGCACCTCAAATGGAGGCTGACTCCAATCGACAAGCGAAAGATATCAAGTGGAAATTGAGTTTCTGACTTGCGCCTTGTTCTGCTGATCTATAAATTAAACAAATTTTCATGTAAACTTGCTTTGTGATGTTAGGCAAGGAGGCTCCGTTTGAAAATAAACTGCGAGCAAGCATCATCTGGTAAGGAGCACACTTATGGTTGTTACTCAGGCTTTTTAACTCTCAAGTTCAAAACGGTATTTCATACATAAATCAGCAAAAGCTGTATAACTCGGCGCTGCTCCCGATATTTAATTTCTGAGATGCGATAATTCATTTATTGACGATTTAACCTTTATCGCTGTTTCAGGTTTTATTCTGAACGAACGGAAAGAATCAGTTATCAGAGTAGATGCACATTTGAACCTAATAAATTATAATAAGGAATCGTGCGAAACCGGTTTTGAAATTTGAACGATATTCTAACCTGAATTTTGAATTATTACGAACTTGCATGAACGAAGCTTCAATTTAATTTCATTTATTAAATTTATCCCCCATTTTGCAATACTTTAAGACAATTATTCGTGTTTTGTCTACAACCTGAACTATAATTTCCAACTTATTCAAACCTGATACGACAGATACAGCGAATGACGCGCTATAATATTTCTCTTGCTCACTCTTCACTTTTTTCACTGTTGTGTTCCAGCGCAACCTCCCATTTAAAA